CTATCTTAATAAAAAGCAACACTTTTAAAGCTGAATAAATGACTGTGTTTTTCGAAGCTTAATTATGTGTCTCGCTGTTCATTTTTAGTAGATTATGATTGGAGCAAAAATTTACTGAAGAATGACTGCCCCGTGGGATGCAAAGTATGAATGTAGCTACAATTTATCAAGAGATAAAAGAACTCCTTGCTATAAACTGCAGAACTAATCAGAAATCAAATCTAGATATTAATTCATCCCTTAAAGAGAGAGACAATCAGGCCTGCACAGTGTTAGAAGACCTTTAGGAGAGATGCTTAGAACATCTCTCTGCAATGGCAAGAAAGAGCAGCTACTGTGTGCATCCCACAGGCTCCAGAGAGGATTGATGGAAGGATGTAGCACAAGCCAAGTGCCACGGACTATGGTGGGTGCATACACTAGATCCCTCTCCATGAAGCTAGAGAGTGAGCTGCACAGCAGCAAAATTCATGGCAAGTACAGGAGAAGAGAAGAGGAAGCCTTATGTTAATCTCACAATTAGAGGATTAAGCCATAAACAGAGGTTTATTTTCTGGTCCCCAGAGTGTGCACTTTTTACCATTTCACAAAACCTTTTTTGGGAGAGGGGATGAGGAGCCAGGGTGTCTCCCTCTTTCTGAGAATGCTACTGACTGGCCATGACCTGCTAGATGAATGAGTTGTTGAGATCAGAGGCAGTTTTATTTTGCCTCATTTCTGCTGCGTACTTCAATCACCAGACTGACATCTCTCATGGACAGAGCATCCACCAAGTCAGGCAGGTGCCAGCTGGTGAGCCTGGATTTCTGACACAACATTCAGACATGTGATGTTACCTTTGAAAGCCAAGAGGCCAAATTGTGATGACCCCATCAGGCAAAGGAACCAACACTATAAACTCTGTTAAAGGTGATTTGTGTTCAAAATGAGCTTTGTGGTTTGGCTTATTCATCAACCTGTTCTCCTTCCCACCAAGTGAATGGAAAGCAGACAAAGTACGTCCTGGACAAATAACTCCAAAAGACCTGCTCCTTCTGCAGGTGATCCTGGGAGAACAACAGCCTATCAATCTATCAGAAGGAATCTGGTCATTCATCTGGGGAGCAGCTTATGAGAGAAACTGGACTAAGACAACTTCCAGAGCTCCAGCTCTGTCTTCACATCCCTTGAAGGAGGGCAAGGAAATGGCTGTTCTTGTATGGATTGATTATTTTTCTGCTGGAGGAAGAAAAAAAGCAGGCATTTGTGCTGCTGTTACTAGATGTGTTACTCATCTTTGATACAATATTGATCTCACACAGACCATGGAGGGAATGGATGGGAAGCTCTTCTTTTGCTCTGCCTCTTCAGGCAGGCTCTGCTTTATATCTAAGAAAACCCATAAAGAAGGAAAGGGAAAACAGTTTTGCATCTCCCTGTTGCACATGCCATCCTGTTAACTATATACGGGAGGACACATGGGGAGATAGGTAGGTAAGAGAAACTAGGAACATTTAAAATTTTTGTTTTGTTAGGCTTTTGTATAAATGGTTTGCCTTTGCTTGGTGGCAATAAGTAGGATGGGAATGGGTGACTGTGCCATTTGTGCCAACTTGTGGCTGCTGTGTTGTGACAAGTACTGCCATTTTGTCTGTGTAACCACTTTGAGATTGTGTTAGGAAGCTACTGAAGTGAGACATGCATATGTTTTGTTTAGTGCCAAACATATTTTGTTCACCTGACACTTTATAATCACTGTCAATGAATGCACCTGACTGAGGGAAAGGCAAAATTATCCCTGGCTGCATTTACTCTGCCAGGATGCAGGAAAGTGGTGTGAGAAAAAGAAAAAAAGAACAAAAAAGAAGAAAATTATATGGCATGTTTGCACATGTCAAACCTGAAATACTACAGGGAACCTGTGAGTAAAAGATGTTTCCTAGCCTATCCATTTTCACAGACACTATCTCTGCGGTGAAAATCTATGGAATACAACCAATGACATAAGAATCTGCTGCACAGTTCACATTTACTTTTCTCTACCAACAATCTGGAGGCAGAGAACAATATATCTAATAGAATAATAACAGACACCATTAATACTTTAGTGGTTTGGTATAAGATTGCTTTCATTAGCATGTCAAGTGTTTATTTTAGCTTACTGCAAAACAAGCTCCTTACACACAGCCACGTACTCTCCTGGATTGCAAAGAGGGTAATAATAAAGGAACTTACTTTCCCCAATATTCTGTGGAGGTTTTAACATGCACTGAAATGATATTGCTCCATTACCTCTAGCCAATGAACCAGCCTGGTGAGCTGGAGAAAAATATTGCAGCAGAAATATTGCTGACCTCAGTGGAATAGGTTTCAGAGACTGCCACGAGGGCAGACATGAGGCTGTTCTCATTGCAAATTGTACTCCCATCTTCAATCTAAAAGGACACTCACAACCAGGCAGAGGAAAATACATTGGGTTCTTCCCATGTCTCAGTGTATATTTGTTAAATATTTTATACCTGGTCATGATACCAAGGGGAAAATACTATCCTATGTTAAATGTGGACTTGCTTTTATTGATAAATGGTAGGGGTTGGACTTTTGGGGGGTTTGTTTGTTTTGTGGGAATTTGTTTTTTATAGTTGTTTACTTTTCTTGTGTGCGATTTTGGATTTCTTTCAATTTTACCCTAAGGGAAATTCAACCAAGTTGACCTCAGGCAGCGTTTGCCTTTGTTGTGTTTTATTCGAGACTATTTATATACATTAACTACTCAGTTTTTCTTTTAAAAAGAAAAAAAAAAAACAACAACTAGCTTCTTGGAAGTGAAGACAAACCCCTACCTAAATAAAATTATTCAGACATGTAGTTGTGGTTCATATCACATACTCAGAACTTTCATAATCTTCAAGGCTCCCCATTAAAAGTTCTTTTAATTCATCAAAACCAACAGCTAATAATTAGACCAGGAGAAACTAAATCCTCTTCTCAGACAAATGTGTGCAAATCCCATTTACTTCAATGGAAATGGCTCACAGGTGTGATACATTAGACTCCAGCCATTTGGCAGCTTGACAGGAATTCAGTGCCTGGATCCCAACTTCTTGTCTCCTCTTCCAGAGGCACGGGTAATGCCAAAGAAATCTGATCCAGGTTTCTCCACAGGCCCCTCAGCAAACACTTTAATCACCTATTCTTTTCTCCATCACAACAACTCTCAGGGCTAAATTTGAACTTTCAAACCTAAACATCACAGGTTTGCTTCCTGCCTAGCAGATGGGGGCTCTGCCACCAGCTATATTAAACCCAGCAGCAGTGATTACGTTTCACAGGCTTCAATTCTACATCAGCAAAATCTACTGTATGGCATCAAATTCAAGGAATTCAGGCATTTTACAGCTCAGGAGTAATGCAATAATTCTATTGCCATACTGCTTACTTTGCCCTTCCAACACATTTATTTGTGCTTCACAAAGTGAACAGTAGGTCACTGGGAAAAATGGATAAGCACAGAGAAATAGGAAACTGTATCTGGGGAGCAACAGAAAAAGTGAAACAACATCAGTTAATACTTGAATGGAAGGAAAACCTTACACTTTGATAATACCTTCTCTCTTCCTTTCGTTTTGCTTTGGTTTTTTTAAAGATACTGATACAATGAAAACTTTCAGCCACACTCCATGAAAGAATATATCATAAAACAACTCTTGCTCTGCCTGTTTAGGAACACTGAATGTGTGACCACAATCCCAACCGTGGGTTAGCCTGCATACAAATGGACATGTGGTTTGTCATTGCTGAACTCTCTAATTCAAACATAAAATTGGTATTTTAATTTAATCTAGGTTCAGTGCAGCATGAAAGGAAAGACACTGAGGTGTGATGAAATTTCTTGGGTCCCTCCACACCTTCCAGGTGATGACAGCAATTGCTTTAATGACTTGCCTGTAACAACCAGTCACAATGTTACTGACAGCATGTTACTAGCAGTTACTTAAAATGATAGATGTTAACACTTTTCTGCTCTTTGTGACTCACACTATATACCCTAGTCAGAATATTTTAGGAGCTGAATGCACAGTGCTAGGTCAAAATGCTGAAGATTGTGGAGCCGCCGTTTGAGGTTCAAAATTATATGTGTCATTTGAGGAATATTAGGTCAAAAAGAATCCATGAGACAGAATGGTGGATTAAACTTTAGGGTTAAACATTAAACATGGATTAAAGATTAGGGTTCATCCTTTTAACTGTTTCACAGAAAGGGAATTTCTTCAGCATTGAGGTGTTTTGCTCTGCCACATATCTGAAAGCAGTGTGAAACTGTGCACTCTGAAAATAATCCTTTGATGTGAGCACCTTATAAACAACTCTTCCAATGAGATAGAGATTAGGAAAAAATACTTTGATCCAGTTTTAGAACAGCATAGACCATGTTTATGTCCATACACGTGGCCAAGTTTCCCTGAGCAGACTCAGGTGGAGGATGGTATCTCAGAGGAACAACACTATAGGCATTATGTTAATCACCTGTGACTTCTAACTGTGGAGGGATGTAATACACTGTGTAAGGTCTAGAAACATCAACATTGTAAAAAGGAAAACAGCAACAATTTCTTGTAGAAAAGGAAAGTGATGATTATATTGCTCTGTGTTTAGCAGGAGGTACCTGACCAACTTAACCAAACAGCTAAACAAACCAAGCCCCACACAACATGGATTGAGCTTTTTAATTTAAGTCAGAACTGGTTAGAGATAAAACAGCAGCAATTTATGAAGGTGTATCAGCAATAATCAGTATCCCATCACATAAGAATAGAGTTTGTAATTGTGAATCTACCTTAGGATGAAATATACTTCAGAAGATTTATAATCCCTTTATTTAGGCCACAAAGAACTCTCCAAGTGTGTGCAAAGAACATTATTAACTGAAAGTTTTCCAGTTCTTTCTCAAGAATTCAAAACAAACTTTTCCTCAAAATGTGAATTGATTAATATCCCTGAGAAGTTGTTAGACCACATACCTTCAGCATCATCCTGCAGGTCCTCAGGCTGCTCTTCTTTGCTCTTTGTGGGAGATGGAGACAGGCCTTCTGTAAACATAAAAAATTATAAATTACATATATTATTTGGAAATGGTTTCATTATATCAGATATTACCATGAGTGATACCACAACTGTATGTTTTATCTCAGCACTCCATTCAGTACTCAATGCTTATCTTTCTGTTATTTAAATTAAGCACTGCATCATCTCTTATGAAATTTATAATACATATGTGTCTTGCAGCATGGACTGAACTTTCTTTGACTTTCACAGGATGGAAGTGAAGAAAGCTCATACTGAAATAACATAGTGCTTCACAAGCACTACAGAAACAATAATCATAACCCTCAACCAAATAATGCTTTAATTTGTAGTTGTAAATATAATATTTATTATACTGCATTATGGAACAGTAGAGAAATAATTAATAAATAATAATAAATAATAGATTATTTTTTTTCTCTCAGCTCAATTCCCCATTCACTGTTTTAACGCAACAACAAATGAATATAGACTGAAATTAATAATTAAATGAAAGGTAGGTAAACAAATTTGATAGTGAAGTTAAGGAAATGAAAGCTTTAGAAGACAGAAATGTTCAGGTTGAACAAAAAATCCATTCCAGCCTTTCAGACAGTAGGCAATATCAAGCTGGAGGAAAGGGAGTAAAAGAAGTAATTGAGGCCAATTAAATGTGAGATCTCTCTTGCTTATATGGACTGAAGCACACAGTGTTTAATATCAGCTGGTTAAACTTTGAATATTCTGAACTTTTTCTACAATATTTTCAAAATATCCTGTCATCCTAACAAAAATGATGACATTACTGTTTGTTTGCTATGACACACCTCAAGGCACAAACTGGTAGCAGAGAAAGCCTGTTAATAAAAAGGGAGGCCAAGCTGGAAATTAAGCATAAAAGGTATTCATAAATTAAGACATTTCATGCAAGCAGGCTCCCTAATTAAAACATTCTTTAAACACTGTTGCTTAACCACGAAAGCAGCAACTGACAGACAATTAAAACTCAATTCATTGCGCCTACTGAATGTATTCAACCATGATGAGAAAATGGCTTTCTGTCATTTGACTTTCTGTCAAACCTCCTGATTCCTTGTGGCTAACTGAGGGCTTGGGTGCAGGAGAAGCATAAAAAAACCACACTTTTGTGTGTGCTGGAAATAAACTTTGACCGCTTGTAACCAGGAAATTTAGGAAGACATATGACCTCTCATGATTCACCCTTATTGCTGTTGCCGTTAGCAAATAAGAAACATGTTATTACTTAAAACTGATTAGCTAATTAACAACTGGGAAAAAACTATCTACACATGTTTCAAAAATTGGTTAAGTGTTTCAAAGACTCCCAGCATCTCTCCTGCTGTCACATATATACCACACAATCATCTATTCTTTATGTTGCTGGAGCTTTAAACAGCTCTTGACAATCAGATGCCCAGCTCTCATGAAGGACTTGGCTTTGCAAAGAGCCATAGATTCTCCCCTTTTTTCTTCTACCCTTCCACAATTACACATCTCTAGAACCAAAATGCTGAAAATTTTGAAACAGAAGGTATGAAAGTAGTTAGCATGTGAAAAAGAAACTTGCAGATTCAAGGGATAGTTGGAGTCAAGGTTCTTTGTGGGTCCCTTCAATTCAGGATATTCTGTAACTCTGAGAATATTGTGTTCTTTCAAAAGACAAAAACGTAGTCAATCATTGGCTTTGCATGGAGCCCAGGGAACACAGAAATAACTTCTGATGCCCTCTTGGTTATTCTAGCATACTTATGCACAAAAAATCCAGAAAAGCCATGGATTAGGAAGGTGGCAGGACAGCTCAAAATGTAAGCAAAAATTCCAAAATGGAGATCTGTATGTGAGTAATTAAATTCTATCTCACTTTCTTAATTTTAATGAAAGAGCATTATAAAAATAAAAGGCCAAACTGAATATTGCTCTTATAAATTTCTACTAGAAGGGAATTTACACTTCTTTCTAGAACTACATAGAGCTCAGAGCATGAAGAGCCCTTAGCAATCAGTAAATAAAGCCAGTTACTGCAAAGTAGAACAAGCCTTGAGGTTTGGCTCAATACCAGGTGGTAGACTGTTCCTGAGAGCACTTAATACAGGACATATGTCATGTCATCACGTTTGCTCATCTGATTTTGAAATTCAAACACATTATTTTGAGGAAAACAAGAGTTTTCAAGTGCTAAAATGAATTTCTTTCTAGAGTGAAGAAGGCAGGAGTAACCACAAGAAAATCCATGAGGAAAAATAAAGGACAAATAAAACCTGACAAATAAAGACATGCTTTGTCAACCCTTTAAGGGGCTGAGGAGCAATGATGATATCATTCAACAAGAACTCTAATACGAAAGAGAGATCCTGAAAATAACCAGACTTGTGAAGACTTCTTCACGCCAATGTTCTCCCTTTCTTTTAAAAAATAAATTGAATATTTATAGTGGATCATATCAACATATGGTTTCTTTGGTTCAAATGCCACTCTGAACCACCTGCCATGTTTTCTTTTTTGTTTGAGATTAATTCACATTAGGGGACTGAATCAATAGGAATGCTTCAATCAACACTTGCCCCTCTACTGAGGAGTTTTATTATCTAACCAATCTGTGAAGTTTCCTTCAGTCCCACACATCAAATGTCAACCAAGTTAAAGTGCAAATGTCCAGACTGGTCTTTCAGGACTATTTGAATACATTAGATAATATAACATCTTAATTGACAGCCCAAAGATGGAGAGGGAGGAGGTGTACATTCAGAGAAGTCAGAACTATTTCTATCTCAGAAGAAACCATATTTTTGCACTCTATAAAGAGCCTTCAAAATGCTCACAAAAGGATGTAAAGGCAGTGTCCCAGGAGAACAAGCTTTCAATCACAATTTCACAATTTTTTAGAAGTTATCCCTTATTTCAGAGATCAAAAAGGATCTGTGTTCACCATGGTCAAAATACAACTTTTAACCCTTTCTGCTCCCTAGCAGTGTGTATGTCCTTCCAAACAGTGAGCCAAATATTATAGAAATTTTGTCTACTAATTTATTTTTAAAAATAACACACCTGGACAGGTGTTTGACCTGATCATATTGAAAGCTTTGATAATTGTGATGATTTGTACTAAAACATTTCTGAACTCTACTACTGGGAGACATATTTCTTCTTTAGGCTTATTCAGAGGGTGAGCAAATAATTTAAATCTCAGTCTCCAAGTAATCTATATCCAAAATCCTTCACAAATCCCAAATTTGCCTGGTTGCAAGTGATTGCTGTTTTCATTTCAGGAAAAAAAGATAGTCTTCCTCCAAAAAACAATCTCCAAGTGTAAGGGTGTGCTAAAATGGAACATGCAAAAAAAATCTGCATTCATGTGTCTTGATTGTAATAGGGTGTTATTAAGCCCTGTTAGTGTGAATGAGATCCTTCGTCTTGTTTTAACTAGCTGTGGCTTCTAAGTAATGAATAGATGATTAATTACAATGATCAGGATAAAAATAGGATAACCAGCAGGACATTTGTTAGGAGCAACTACTTGATGGGAAATGACAGTAGTGTGGCAACAGACATAGAGATGAGGTCAAAAGGCTTCAGTACCTGGCAGAGAATGAAGCTGAACAGATTGAGGGACAATAGAGATTCAGATTCAGAACTGAAAGTTTTTCCTGAGTGGTTTTTTTTTTTTTGGTTTGGTTTGGGTTTTTTTAATGGCATTGGTAAGAGAATTGACTTATGTCAGCACATAATAATGTTATTATGTGCTGACATAAGTCAATTCTCTTACCATTAGGGAAAAAAAAAAGGGAAAAGAAAAAAAGGAAATGAAAACACTCAGGAAAGACTAAGTACTGGGTCATCTGGTCCTTGTTTTGGGCTATGTAGGAAATCATTCACAAAGTAAAGCTGAGATGTAGACCTGCACAGGTCTGGACCTGCTATTTCTGTATCAGCCCTTTTGACTCAAACCCTTCTAACACCAACTGCATGACACATGATAACCTCAAAGCACTTCAAATTAAGTGGTGCTGTTAAGCCAGCAACTGCTACAAGACTCAGCATCCAGAATAACAGACTGATGGGTTAAAAGGCTGTGAGTTAAATGCCATTAGAAGAGTGGGTTTGAGTGTGTGTATTTAACAAGACTGGATTATTTTTATTTTAAAACATTTCTTCTTATTCTAGTATAAGCAGTGATGTTATGTCATAAACTCACCAAAACGGTCATTCCTGCTTGTTGATTTTATACAATGAATATAAATATTAATGGATATTACACAGCAGATTGTCTTGGAGATGTTTTTTTTTATCCCATACCCATTTTTGTTTCTGTTTTTGTGTCCAGTGTTGTTGCTGCCTCCTTACCCCTCTCCTCCCCCAGCTCTGGGAGTATCCAATGTAGCAACGGGTCAGAGCCAGCCTGGGAATTCCTGCAGGAGTTAGGGAGGACAGTTGCTTCCTTCCAGTAGCATGATTTCATTCCCCATGGCCAGGCCACATTATTGCTCTAAGAGATACTCATTGCAGTGTGTTTTTTATCAGTTTGTTTGCTTTTTTTTTTTTTCCTTTGGCACTGTGACTGGAGCTTACTGGTTTGCTTCTCTGCTTCTTGGGAGCTCAGAGCGACTGCGTGCAGCACCGGGACCCAGGAGCAGCCTGTGCCCTGCTGGGGAACACCTGGTCTGGGCCCCAGGACCAGCCAATGCCAGTGGCTGTTTATTTATATAATAAAATATTTAATTGGAAATGTTAGATGAATACTACAAATTTAACTGTAGCATTATCTTTGGCAAATGTTTGTTATATAATGATGGCCTTTTTTTTTTTACTTTTATGTATGTTCATATGACTATATCAATCACACTAACTATATTAAAATTACTAAAAGTTCCTATCCAGTAATCTTGACACCAAAATGTAATTACAATCATATGTAATAAAATCAACGGGCCAGAACAGCCACAAAAGAATGTGCTATTCCATCAGTATAACACATATCTATCTGTGTTTTCACACTTATGTACATGCACCATTCTTCAAGTATTTCTAATTTCTCAGGTAATTAAGTGGTTGCATAAATGATCATAATCTATTTGTCTTTTTAGGCCAATCTTGACAATTTAAGTAGTCAAGATACTGCTTCAAAAGCTTTTACATCTCTTTTCTGGCTGGTATATCCCTGCCTCTCCCCATGTGGCACTCCTTTCTGACCTTGCATGTTTTCATAAAGAGAGCTGGATGTTCCTGCACAGTCAGTGGACCATGATGGGATCAGGGTCACAGAGACCTTGGGGTATTAGCTGGTTTGGAAGGAGAAGCAGAGGAGTATAGGGAGCTACTCTGCACATGAAAGGAGAAGCACTGCACAGAAATCCATATGGAACAGGAGATGTTCACTGAGGACCTCAAGGTGAGGTCAGCAGGGAAAGTATCAGAAGGTGCTCTGGTGGAAGTCTGTTACAAAAAAAATGATCAACTGGATGAAGCTTTCTCAAAAAAACTGGCAGAAATCTCCTGAATGGAAGCTTTGGTCCTCATGGGAGTTATCTAATCCTCTGTCCTCTCCTTTTCTTGTTCCTATGGCCTTTCTTCCTATGAATACCTATTAATCATTTCCATTTTATGTCATCCACAAACCCTAAACAGTGACACTTGTTTTAAACAGCAAACTATGAGGACCGGGAAAAAATCCTCTGAACCACTGTCTGACCAAGCTCAGTGTATTCAAGAGTTTCTGGGAGAGTTTTTCTACTGTTTTCATTGCAAACATATCACTGCCACTGTTCAGAATGGCAAATGACTCAAGAATTGCTCTGTTCACAGTTTTTACAGATAAATAGACTGAAGAATTGTTATTATTTCCCCTTCATGTTCAAACTAGCTCATGATAAAAAGCAATGAAATATTGCCTAGAGGCGTATAAGATGATGACATTAAAAAAAGTAGTCTCAGCTGGTCTTGCCATGCACTATTTATTATCAGGGATGTTTCACCCTAATTTTGTGTAAAAACCAGAGATGACTGTTGCAACATTGGCAATAATGATTAGCACTGCTTATCTCAACTAAGGCAATTAATTTCTAGAATTTTTTTCAGTTTGGCTTATGTTTCAGAGAAGTGATGTATTTTAGCATAAAATATTCTTAACTCACCTCTCTCTTCACTCAGCTGAGCCCCTTCTTCATTAGCATCACCTGTCAAAAAACAAATTGAAAGAAAAAGGTTACTGGGAATAGCAGCAAACATCTAAAATGAAATATTCCATGTTTCAAATAGAATATCTTGTTTCATGTATCATGTTTCAAATGACCATATCTTAGTTTGCCTCCTCCTGTGTAACATTTTGTAGTGAAATCTGGAGCTGGATGGGGAAGGAGGTTTTGATACTGGTTATCACCAGATACAGGTAATGCAGGGAATAAAGACAGGGAATAAAAGTCTGCATAACTTATAAAGTTCTGCAAATAAAAACAGTTATAATGTGAAATTATATGAAATTCCATTCTCTTTCCTTCAGAGCTTTTGGTTTTCTTGACAAATTTCAGTTTGCTTTGTTTCCCTGTAACAGCTGGCTATGCTAAGAAGAGAACTAGCTACCCTACTAGAAAAATCATATGAAGAAGTTACTAATTATTTACAAGACAGGCAAATTGGTTTAAGAACAAAATGAATCTGCGAAGACCAAACTTGGGCTAGCTAGGAAGAGATCATTTTTAAGCTTAAAATGAGAGACAAGGAAAGCAGATTACTTTAGCAAAAAGTTCCATATTGGTAGCAAAGGAATTTTTTCCAAGTTGTTTTGCTGAATTAGAAAATAAAAAAATTAGCCTTAATTAACATTGTGGTTATTCAGTGTTCCAGAGTCTCAGTCATGTAATGGAGATCACAGACATTTATGTCAATTATGTTCCTGATACATATAGACTCCATTTATATCCTTTTAAATGGGGCTGCTGATGGACTTTTTACCAGAGCCTACAGTGACAGGACAAGAGGGAATGTCTTTAAATTATCAGAGGGCTCATTTAAATGAGATATTGGGAAGAAATTCCTCACTGAGTGTATTGAGGCAGTAGAACAAGTTGACAGAGAAGCTGTGGATACCCTGTCCCTGGAAGTTCTTGGAGGACCAAGTGGAAGGTGTTCCAGCCCATGGCAGGGTGGGTTGGAATCAGATGGTCTTTCATGTCCCTTCCAACCAGTCATTCTATGATTCTATGATATGGGCATATAAAAATTCTATAGCAAGCCCACAGCTTTTGTCTGAGGCTTAGTATCTTTCAAACTGGCATATATGCATATTATGACTGGCCACCAGATGAACTCAAAGGAGCTTTGCAATATATTAAGCAATGCTAATGGAAGCTAACAGTAGTATTTAGGTCCAAATTTACAGGGTTAGAACTTTAGATCAGAAACTCTGCTGAGATCCACATGCTGCGACTGGCTGTGAGAATTAGGCTCTGGTCTCACCAAGATTTGGAGCCTGAAAATTTACTGTAAGTAGCATGAGAACAGAAAAAAATGTTAATAATAGAGGCCTCTACTTGGAATTATAATTCATTATAAGCATTGAAGTCAAGAGTGTGAGAATTTTCATGCTTCTGAATCTTCAGTGCATGGATCTGCATCCACTCTTCCCCCCTTTTCCTCTCATTCAGACATGATCTGGAGGGCAGAACTTTCAAAAAGCAGTAAACAACAGCAGATTACATTTCTCTTGAGTACACTTTATTCTGGCCCAAAGGACTGAAAAAATTCACTGCATATTTTACTTCCTTTTTCCTTATTCTTCAAACAATTATTTGGAGGTGAAAAAGGCCAGCTCGGCCGCGTTCCCCTCACACGGGAATGGCAGGCGGGCCGGCGGAAGCGATGGAAAAGGAGCTTCCTTTGCAAAAACCCAGGGACAGCCGGTCCCGGTGCCCCTCCAGATGGCGAAAAGAGCTGCAGCAGGAACCTTGGAAACAGCAAGATGGAACCTCGGGTGGCCCTAGCAGGCAGGGGGTGTGGGGTTACAGTGTAGTGAAAAACCCGGAGCAGTGGCAGAGAAGCCGCGGCTGGGCAGCCCCAGTCCGGCTCCGGGACATGGCCAGAAGGGCTCCCTCAGGTCGGGGAGGGCTCAGGGTGCCCAGTTTTCCCGAGGCACCAGAGCGGATGGTGAGGGTCCTTCCTAGTGAGGCCGGGTGTTAGTAAGGTCCCAGTGCATCGGCCGCTCTTAGGAACAGAGCTCCACTCATGGTAAAAGACAGCAGGAGACAGAACCCCGCAGTGGTGGGGAATTCTCCCCACAGTGACCGCAGCCTCTCTCCCCTCCTCGAGAGTGAGAGCAAGCTAGAGACTGTGCCCAACCCCTTCCCCCAGCCCAAAATCTCAGGGTAACTCTGGCCTTCCCAAGAGAAAACCGCTCAGGTAAGGGAGTAGCAGCCAGCTGCACCCCTCCTCTGTGACTACATCCTTTGCCTCTCATCTGTACCAGCTGTTATTGTTTCTTAGCAACAAATGAGAGAAAATTCCATAAGAAAGAAAACAAAATTAAAAAATCCTAACCCCCAACATACACACTACCTTAAGGAACTTTGACAAGTAATTTTTAAGATAAGAAAATGACAAATATTGTTAAAGCCTATGGGAATTCTGTCATTGGCTTCAACAGAGCCAGGATTTTCTACTGGTGTTCTGCTATTCTTCAACAAACTGCTCAGAAAATATTTGGCAACATAGAGATTATTAATTATTCAGCTTCCAATAACATGTTCTTTCCATGGAAGCATTTATAATGAAACCAGCATGATAAGGTTTCAAATTAATCTAAGACATGACACTAAATCAGCAGAATCTTAACACACATATATAACCTGGTCTTCTGTGGAAGTTCTTAATTATAGTTCTGTAAGTGACTTGGAATATGAAATTCCCAAAGCAACGGAATAGTTTCTAAGCTAGTGATAATGGAAATCTGATGTTATTAAAAAGTAGGGAAGTCATTACACAATATAATTATGAAGAGGCAAAGACTGCTTTTGTGAACTAATTGTGAACTAAAGGCTGGGGTTTTTTTCTGGGAAAAAGTACTTAAGGCTTGCTGAAAGGCAATAAAGTCTCTGTATCATTTCTGAAAATGGAAGTTGGGCTCCCAGTAACTTGGTGACACATCTCTGAGTCATTGTGCTGCCTTTGAAAAATTTACACCAATCTAGGTAGGAATCTGAGTTTCGCTTTGGCACGCAGCAATCCCCAGCCACTTCATGTCTGTAATTATTATTCTCACACTATTAATCCATCTGGTGGAAGCATTTCCCTGTTAAATATAAAACATTCTCTTTCACTGACCTTGGTGTGGCTGGCTGAAGTGATAAACACCATGTTTAGCTGGCAGAGCTCTATGCCAAAACCAATTATTTGAGATAAAAACCAGTGGTTTAAAAGTCTATGTTCAAAATGCATTCACTTACCCCCCGAAAAAAAAGATATTAAGGGCAGTTTTTTGGTTACTAGTTCTGAATAAGTAAAAATATTTTTTTTTACTGAAGTTCTACATACCTAATATAAAGCAAAATCAGTGCCAAGATTACCATAAATTAGATTTGTCATACCTACTCTTGTTTTTCTTTTGTTTGTTCTGTTTTTTTAATTTTTTTTCGTTTTCCCTGTACAATTTCTTACTCCATCTAGAGGAAGCCTTAGAAAATATTTGATATATGCACCATAGACAGTCAATCTCAAAGCAAAATTGGATAAAGCCACAGAAGAACCTTAGAGTGAATATTTGACACCAGCAAATATTTCCTTAAACACATATTGTCAATATTTCTTCTCCAAACTCCCCCACTAGAAAGATCAGAGGTGAGATCCTCTGTACCTCTCACCCTCACTTGAGAGCTCTTGAAAAATAATTGACTAGTAAAACATGCTCTAGTGAGTGCACACATCTACCCACACTTGGTTAGTCCTCTGGCTGAAGAAGCAGAACAATGACCTTTCACATTGCTTCCCCATTAAAACCCTGAATTTTAGGAAGTTCTACCAAGATGACTTTGCTGGAAAAGGAATGACTGATCCTGCAGTCTGGAGTGAGAGGAAAACTGACAGTGACTATCAGAAAGGGTCAACTCATCCCCAGGAAAAGTCCCATCAGTATTTAGAAGGCTTAGGAGACAAGAAAACCTTATAACCCAAAATGTGTGCAAAATTTTCCAGTTTAGTATACTAAACTTTATATATACTATACCTTTCCAATTTTCCAGTTAAGGTATACTACATAAAATTAAGGTATTAAATGGGTGATGGGTGGAAGAAGTTTCCACTGAAGTACAAAATCTTTTACAGTTGAAAGTCAGCCTATGATTGAAAGTCTTCCTCTAACTCCTAGGCTGTCTGGGGTAACTGTATCTCTAAAGATCATAGAGCTTTACATTTGGGAGCTAGGTGCCCAAAGCATAAGCTTTTGTGTAAGCCACAGGCTCCCTAGTAGGGTCATGCACTAAGTGATGCCTGTGGCTCTGTCATTGTCCTCTCCCTTGTTATCTGCCAAGCTTTGGGAAATGGAATAATTACACCATATCTGCTCTTACTGACACAGGAGAAGGGGATGCCTTCTGTCAGATCCTTTGTTTTGCCTTTTGCCTTGCTGGTCAGGTTGTTTCCCTGTCTCCCTAGTTGTGGCATACAAGCAAACACAAGCCAGATGGCTAAAATCATCAATCTGTGTTAAGATTTATGTTAGGAACAGAGAGGTGAAAGGCTCTAAATACTTCCACTAATCCCCAAAGCCATTAAACCACCTCCTCCTTGTTGCTCATGCTTCCATTTGCATTGTCCTTCATGTTAGCATGTGGAAAGCCAGCACTGTACAAACACCGTGCATTGAGAAGCCCTTACATGAGAGCCAGCTCCGTGCTGCAGGAGGCTGCTGCTTCGTCTGCATTCAGGTCCTGCATCCTGGGCTGCTGGCACTCCCCAACAGCACTGCATGCTGCTGGCTCCTCCCTGCCTCCTTCTAATCTTTCCTCAGCTGCCTAATTGCATCCTTCAGGATTTTTATTTTTACTCAGCATTTTCTGCAGTTTTCTAATTTCCAGATGTTTCCCTATTTCTAGTCAACCTACGCGTCTTAGTCTGCTCCTCCTGACCACAACCAGGGGAGAACTGGGAAGGCACTGTAGGAATGGATAAAAATCCCCTCTGCAGCTTT